CAACTGGGGAAGGACGCCTGAGATCCATCTAAGTGATCAGACACCCTCGGTCCCCTATCCCCCCTGAACTGTGACAGCCTGTGGTCCTCATATGACCAGACCTTCTGGAGGCCGTGGGGAATAGGGTCTGGAACGACCCCTCCCCAACACGGAAGGAAGGAAGGGAGGGAGGGCGGGCGCGCAGGCCGGCAGGCCAGCCAGCCCTGGTGGCGGGGGTATCAGTCTCCTGAGGAGTAGCTCCCCGCAGAGCCCGGCTGGAGTGGAGGGCAGGAAGGAGGCACCCGGGAGGAGGCGCTGATCTTGAGGAGACGAGCTGACCTTCCCTGAACCTTCAACCACGACAAACCACAGCAAACCCATGTGGGAGCCATTAAAGAAAATTCGAAAATGCGGAACTGCACGGAAGATGCCTCCTCAGTGGGAGTCTTCAAAGCAGTGCGGGTGGAGCCAGAGAACCCGCGAGGTCAGGGGCTCTCCCTGGACTGCCGCCAGCCTGCTGCTTGCAAACAGGCCTTTCCACATCTCCAGGGAGGGTGGCGGGCAGGCCTGGGGACAGGCCAGGCCCTGTGTCTCCCCACTTAGCAATGGCCATCTCCACTCCTGCCCCCCAGGAAAGAGAAGGAGGATGACACAGCAGCCTCTCTGGCTGCATCCTCAGCACAACAAGGCCTTGTGCCTCAAGCCTTGAGGAGGAATCAGAGCATGGGGCCTGTGGCCCCAGCTGGCTGGGCAGTGGGGAGACCGCACGGGGAAACGTCAAGAACTCAGTGCCCCTGCTTCTGCCCGGCCATGGCCTCAGTGTGGAAGCAGGGACTCTGCTGGGGGGGGGGGGAGCGGGGTCTGCCTGGCATGCAGGAAAGAGGCCACAGGGGACAGTGGGCTGGGAGATCCCCGGGCAGGCACACACGCAGGGTAACTGCCTGAGCGGCCCTGCAAACAGCTGCCCCTCGCTAACATCGAACCCAGGTGTGGCAGGGACACTGATGACTCTCCACATGTCCCAGGGAGTTGGAACTACCTCCACCTCCAAGACAGAGATAGCAAAGCCCCAGACCTCGCCCAGGGTGGCAGCTCTGAAGCTGCCTATATGCAGACAACTCCCCTACTGACCGCTTTCCAAGACTGGGCTCACAGGGCCCCCTGGATGTGTCGAAGAAGCGTCTCAAATGTAACATCTCCTCCTCCTTCGGGCCTTCCCATCTCGGGTCAGCAGCCCCCACCTTCCGACTGCTCAACCCAAACACCTCGAGTCACCTTGGTGCTTCCCTTTCCCGTCACATCGAGTCCATGGATGAGCCCATTCCAAAGAGTCCCAGAACTGAGCGGCCCTGCCCCACCTCCGCGGCTTCCATCCTGGCCCAAGCCCCCATCACCTCTTACCAGGACAAGCCTGGCTCCTCCCTGGCCTGGCCTCTCAGAGGTCACTCTTGCCCCTGCCGTCCATTTCTATAAAGCAGCCAGAATGATACTTTTTTTCTTTTTTTCCCCAGAGATGGGGTCTTGCTCTGTTGCCCAGGCTGGAGTGCAGTGGTGCAATCTTGGCTCACTGCAACCTCCACCTCCTGGGTTCAAGCAATTCTCCTGCCTCAGCCTCCCGAGTAGCTGGGATTACAGGCATCCACTACCACACTCGGCTAATTTTTGCATTTTTAGTAGAAACGCAAAAACGGGTTTCACCATGTTGGCAGGCTGCTCTCAAACTACTGACCTCGTGATCCACCTGCCTCGGCCTCCCAAACTGCTGGGATTACAGGTGTGAACCACCAGGCCCAGCCGCAGAAAGACACTTCTAAAACACAAGATGCTGCCTCAATAAGCGCCCGGAGGTGTCGGGTTAAGCGGGTTGAGGCTGGCAGCGCTAACTCCCGCACCTCCCGCTATCGCCACGCTGCAGCGGAGCTGTGACAGTGCCCCACCCTCCAATGTTTTGCTCAGTGTCCCAAGAACGACCACATCTATTTTCCAATCTGGAGCCTCTAAAGTCAACTGACCACGTGGCCCAGGGCCCGTTCATGTCTGAGCAGGACTTGCTGGGCATCTGATTCTGGTGGAGAGGAAAAAACATCCTCGTCATTGACTAATAGTGCCCTGCTGTGATGCTCTGAGTGGCCACCCAGATTCCAGTTCACAGATGCGGTTCCCAAATACTGATTCCCCATCTCGTATCCCCTGCTCACCCAACACCTTTAGGATTTTCCAAACAAGGAAACTTACGAACGCATCCAACCTTCCGTCTCACGCAGAGCTAACTAAGCAGGAAATCACCTATTCACAAGACACACGTCTGCACCTCCAGGAGTGGGTGGGCGGAACTCTCTGTTCAAATAGGCTCCAGTGCCCTCCCAGCCACTCCCGGGGTCTGTGTACTGTATTGGAGCTGGGATATATAACCATGAAGCTGTGCAAACCCAGAGCTCATGACAGTATCGGGGCATTTCCTGAAAGACACAGGGCTGGAAATCTTCATGGATCCCCCACGGTCTCAGTGGCCAGGCAACAAGAGCAGGCCTGGCAGTCTCCTCATCTGTCTGTCTGCAAAGAATGAACATTAACCTCCCTGGCTCCGTGACCACCCCTTGGCTGGGAGGAGGGAGGCAGGGCTGAGGGCCAGGGCTCCTCAAGATCCTAGGTCCTGGGCAGGGCTCCCAATCCACACCCATCCCAGCTTGAGGCAAATTGGCTGTGGATGTGGTGCCACTCATTTCTGACACCTGGGGAGACAAACACGGAACTCACTCTGCTGGTTCCCTCATTCAGTTCCGAGGTGACTACTTCCCCAGGGAGGTTACCTGCTGGCTGCAGACCCGGCCACCCACCTCTTCCAGGAGTCCCATGACCTAGGGGCACCAGGCTGCATGGACGAGGACCAAGCAGCCCTGGGAGCCTGCACCACAGACGTCGTGTGTGGCTGTCAACTCGCTGCCGTCACGGTCAAAGTCACAGCAGAGGACCAAGAAAAAGAGAGGTGGGGAGGCTTCCAAAGAGAAATACGTAAGCATTTGCACATGCCTGACCACCCCAACACTTTCCCCAGTATCTTTCAAAGGTTGAGGTGGGGGAGGAGGAACAGGAGAAGGACCTCCTTCTCCAGGAGAAACTGCAGGCTTGGAGACTTGAACACAGAGTCAGCATCTGTATTCCTGACCTCTGGTGGGGGGCCTCACCCCCCTCTGCCTCTTGCCTGGCCTGCAGGGTGGGGTTAGAACTCAGGGTGCTGAGCCAAAACTGCCCTTTAAGGACAGTCAGCCCATGGGCGGATGGAGTTTTCCAGCCCCCTTGCTTCCCGATGTGGGACTTGCAGGCGGTAGAAGGGACTCATGCAGGCAAGGAGCTCTGAGAGAGGGCCATGCATGGGGTGAGCTGTTCTGCAATGCCAGGCCCTCCTGCTACCACGGGCTCCCAGCTGGGCAGCCATGGAGCCTCCATTCCCACACCAGCACAGTGTTCCTGCACATGGGCTGCATTTACACAGTCTGAGAAAGTCCACTCCCCTTCCCAAAGGGACAGGTGGAGTTCGCTGTTGACTCAGCCTGTTTCTGATCTGCGTGCTCCTCCCCAAATTCATGACTGAACAAGTCCCTCGGGACTATATCTCAAAGGAGCCCACTCAGAAGCCTCCAGCAGGCTTCTGAGAGACTCTAAGCCTGTGTAATGAGTGAGAGAGGTCACTAGCGTTCATTTAC